ATTCAACGGAAGAAGAACATCTCCATTAATACACTTCCATATCTCGTCATCGAGTCCATTCAAGTAGTCTTCCATGCGATGAAAACAATGATCATAATACTCAGGAATGAGCATAGGAATCTTTGCTGAAGATCCTAGCAGATGAGAAAAAGAGGTCATTGTGTTCATGTTGAAATTCACCATTTTTGTAGAGACGAGTTTTCAGAAAATCTTCAGGAACTTTAGAATTAATGGGTGAATTGAACAAAGACATCAAACTGTAGTAGCAAAATCAAATCATAACTGAAGATCTAAGATGATTTTCAGAACCAAAAAGTGAGGAAACGTTTGAATTCAAAATGAGATTGAAACAACTTTAGATATAAGATGATAATCAGATCATTGCAGTATGATTTCTGCTTTGATACCAATTGTAGAACTTATTTAATTGAGAAATGAAATGAAATCAGAGTACAAACAATTCAAGAAAACAAAGAGTAAATAGAATCTGTTTTCAGCTTATATTATGCTTTCGTGATACATAGTGTTCTTAGACAAAAAGGTTGCAAAAGTTCTATCTAACTCTAATATCAATCCCTATTTATAAGAAAACAAAAGAATACAAAAAATACAAGGGACTAGAACAAAATACAAGGGACTGGAGCACTACACTTCGTAACAAAAGTGCCCATGTAATAACATTACAAACTAACGAAACTATACAACAAAATTCAAAACCTCACAACTAAGTTTGACATCTACAAATCTTCTCCTTTGCGTCAATTGAGGCGGGAGGATCTTCACTTTGGATCCTTTTTCATGGTCTTGAAGATCTTGGGCATCACAAAAAGATGAGTACTGCGAAAGGCGATGTACCAAAGAATCATATCATGAAAGTTCTTCTTTGAAACTGCATCATTCGTTGGACATTGCTCTATAATCTCCAAAATATAGTTTAAGCATGTCGTGGAGAAGAGATGTTTTTTCACGTAGTGCGAATAGACATTTTGCAAAGTCACCATATTCTACTGAACTGCGATGAAACATCATAGTCTAGTTAGTGCAGTCAATCTTCCCCATTTGCATTTTATAGACATCAGTTGCTATACCTCTGGGAAAGATAGTTGGCTTTCGCTTTTGAGTGGTTGCGACCTCCATATGTAGCTTCGCAACTTCATTAACATACGAAGTAAACATCCTCTTGACATGCTCCAAAATAGGGTCATATTTCTTTTCATCATTCAAAAAGTAGTGTAACAAGACAATCCAATCATATGGGTTAAGTCATGGGAGATCAGCAAGAGTGAATTCGTATATAACTTTCTTCGAACCTCTTGCTGTTTTGAATTTGACGTTGGTAAAACTCCTTCTCTTTATTGGCGCAATAATCTTCACTACTACGATCTTCTGAGCACTCCATGTTTCATATTGTAACAAACCGTTATTTCAAACATATGTAATAGTGTAGGTCAATTTGTACTTCTTTGTAAATTAATAAAGAGAAATTTTAGCATACTATGTGTATTTACATAATTGACCTCAAAAATAAATTATTAAATAATCTCAACTGGGACGAACCAAGTGATAGAGATTGTAACAAGGTTTCCAAAGATATAAAGCACCCAAAAATCCGAGTTATAACGAAGAAGTTATGACCAACCGAAAATCCGCGACAAAAACCGGCAAAACACTGTTCAGTGTAAAAACTGAATTTTTAATAAAAGGCTTTCTAGCCTTAACAATCTAAATGAAAGTTATTGTATATGTTAAAACGAAAACTTCATAAAAAGAACGCCAAAATCTGACTTCGTATGAAGAAGTTATGATTTTTCTAACTTTCAGTATAGCAGTGTACAGCTAAAAACTCGAAATAAAGATCGAGTGGTTTTTAGCCAACACAAACTAAATGAGAATTGAAGGTCTCATCATTAGTAGTACAACGGTAAAAAGACAGACAAAAATGGACGTCGTATGAAGAAGTTATGAATTTATAACGGATTCACGTCCCAGTCTGTTTAAAATAATAATATTAAAAATAAATTCAAAATTATCCAACGAACTCTAAACGAAAGTCGTAGAGTAAAATTTTACCTACGCGTGCATATAAAGAACGTCAAAAACGGAGTTCATATGCGAAAGTTATGAATTTTACAGGTTATGGCAAAAAAAATAAAGAAAAATAGCAAAAACCGGGAATTTTCGCATGAACAGTAATGCCACATCACCATCACATGCGAGCCTCCACATGGCGTCTTCTGATTGGGCCGCAGCCTCGCCTTTCGCCTCTTGATTGGGCCACAACCGAGGTCCACTAAGAAGCCAACAGCTTCGCATGAGACACACCGGAGACACCCCTCGCACACGCCTCGCACGCCCCTCGCACCCTTCCGTTCGCACGTGTCGTTCTTATATTGGACCGAAGTACGGTCCAATTCGACCCAGCCAGCAGCGAACCTCCGAACCGAAGAAGCCCCCCTCCCTTCGCCACCTGTCCAACACGCGGAAGCCTCGCATGGCCTCGGATCCGAGGCTTCTGCCTATATAAGGCATGCGAGGGCTTCAAAGAATTTTCACTTTTTCACCCTAAATTTCACCCTCTTTCACATTCTCCACTCCCCTAAGCTCATATACAACCCCTAAAGCCCTGGTATCAAGACTCGAACCCGAAGTAAGCCTTGAAGCCCTGAAATTCTTGAGAATTCATCCTCTCTCCTATCAAAACTCTGTCCAAATTACCATCTATCATGTGAACTCATACCCCCGTATTTTCATAATTTCTACTATTTTAAGGGGGAAAATACAAGTATAACACAACAACTTTGTGTTATAAATAAATGATTTCAAATCACGATAAAACGATTTAAAGCATCAAAAAAACTCCAAATATTGAACTCTTTTATAAACTTATATTCTTCCCAAATATACATAATTTTACATGTATATAAATATAAAAGTTATCTCATCAGTTTAAATACCCTTTGTAATATGTTGAGCAAAGGATTACATGCAATAATAGTTATTTACCAATTCATAAAGTCATTATAAATTATAATAGGTATAATTTAAAATACATAGAGCAATACTTCAGGATTTAAGTATACATGAATACATTGTTTTACATGAAAGAAGGGTTTTCATTCAAAACAAATCAAGGGTTTAAACTTGTCAAATAAATGTTCAGAATACTAATTCAAGAACATATTATCAATCAGTTTAAATACCCTTTGTAATATGTTGAGCAAAGGATTACATGCAATAATAGTTATTTACCAATTCATAAAGTCATTATAAATTATAATAGGTATAATTTAAAATACATAGAGCAATACTTCAGGATTTAAGTATACATGAATACATTGTTTTACATGAAAGAAGGGTTTTCATTCAAAACAAATCAAGGGTTTAAACTTGTCAAATAAATGTTCAGAATACTAATTCAAGAACATGTTATCAATCATTTATTTCAGAATGATTAGGTTTTCATAACTAAAATACATGTAACGTTTATATGCTTTTTATGAGACATTCAACTCAGGTTGTTAAATTCATTTTAAACATCCAAGGTAAAGCCCTGACATTATAACCAGAATCCCCAGTTCGGAGATCAAAACAAGTTGTGTGAAGATCTATATCGGGATTGACAACCCCGCACTCAGACTGCTAGCTACAGTCAGGCATACATGCCAATGAGTGGCAATTGTTATCAATAGTTAAATTGCTCACAAGGCGTTTGTTTCAAGCGTTCATGTCTTAGTATGGTTATAATAACTCATTAAAAAGATATTAACAACACGTTAGTGTATAAATAACTAAACGTAAGTACATCTTCGAAGTACTAGTTTACAAAATACAAAGTACAATGGTATACTACAGTTTTCAATAACAGCTGTCGAAGCCAGGAAAACACTCAGTTACAAGTTTTACAAATACATTAGTTCACAAATAGGACGGTTTTATGGGAATAAAACTACTTTTCACATACTATAGAAAATATGGGATTTTCTAGAACAGTTTTCATATTCAAAATACCAAAACACCCATGCAAACATAAAGACTTATGTACTCACTCAACTTATTGTTGATACTCTCTTTTTCAAATTACTTGTATTCTCAGGGAAATAATCGCAGGTACTCCCCGAGCTTTTTGAGAAGATGGAGCCATTATGAGTCTTATCTTCTTCTTTTGTATAACTATTTTGGTTTCAATATACAATGATTGAATACATGTAAATGTTATACTTTTAAATACAATGGTGGTTTGTACTTTGATTACTATGATGCATGTGTTGTGATACTACAAATGAAGTCCTCCACCCCCGGATGTTTCCGCCGTCTGGTTTGGGGGTGTGACACATATTGAGGCTTTCCATGCTTCAGATAGAACTCCATCAATGACTTGTTCACTTTCGTATTAGATGGAGTTACGTTCACTGTTGGTTCAAAGCATCAGAAGAGGAAGGATTTCGTAGTCATGGGCATGTCAAACTGTGAATCAATGGTAGTCTTCAGCTCAAACGAGGCAACAGGTTCAAGCCAGTATATATTCAGGCATTCAATAGCTTCATTCATGATTCGTTCCATAGTCCATTCTAGAAACAAGGACTGCCGACTTTTTAAGGCATCCTGGGCTTCACATTCAGCTCGTTCCTTCTATTCAGCCTCTCTGGCAATGCGATCATTTTTTATTAATTTTGCATCACGACTCTTTCGTTTCATCTTATCGGCTTTATTTTCTTGTTCTTCATCATCATTATCCTTATCATTATGCTTCAGTTCAGTTCTTTTTGATTTGTGCTCATCATTACTAGAGGAGCCACCAAGAGGTTTTGTAACTTTCCCCCTTGTTTTGGATGGTCAAGAAACACTGAAATACCCACTAATCTGTTAAGCATAACCACAGCAGGTCAATGCTTTTCAGCCACGTATAGGAGAGTGGTGAGGGGGAGCAAAGGATCATGGGCTTCAATCAAGTTTGAGAAAGGAGCATTAACATCTGAAACACAACTTTTCTTTACAACACATTAAGATTTAAGAATGTTGATTTCAATGTTCGTTGTAGTGAGCTTCATAGACAACATCCTAACCCTTGTAGTTTCTAGAGCAAGCTCATCCATTATCCTACTCTCAACGGTCGGGTCTTCTTGGAGTTTCACAAATTGAGAAGAGATAGAGGATTCAAAAGAAGAGTGATCAGTTTGAAGATCACTGCAAACCTTTTGGAGAGCTTCTTTCTCGATGTGAAGGGTAGCTGTAAGATTTTCAATCACCTTGTTTTCATTGGTAGTATTTTTCTCTTCTGCAAAATTGATGTCAGCCATAAATGCCTAAGAATCAGTGATTAGTTTATTGACTTGTTGTGATTATAACCGAGATGATGAATACGGAATATCAAGAACAATCAAGAATCAATCATCATCATATGCAAGTAATCTGATAAGGTTTTTGTGTGTATTGATTATGATATGAACGTACAGAGAAAACCCTAATTTGGTAAAAAGCTTACATCAAAAGCTAACCTAAAGATTATTTATAGGGAACACAAAATATATACCATAAAGATAAAACCAATGCCTTAGAAGAGCTCGATGAAGAACTTCATTTGTAAAGGCACCATAGGGAATCATAAAATGATTAACCCTAAAAAGGCTTCCTTAAAATAACCAAACACACCAAGTCAGTTTAAATATCTCAAATACTCAACAATCTCCCCCTAGATGTTGAAACTGATGAAGTCACTATTTTTGATCTTATTGGCACTTCTCAGCCTAAATTGTGAGACTCATCATCACATGGGGTCTTCAAAGTAAGAGAAATAAAAATAATCTTCCAAATATGAACTCCACCTTGAATAATAATCACTCCCCCTCGAATATTCCAAATATGAACTCCACCTTGAATAATCATCTCGCTTTCTCCTGTCAATCAAGTGAGTTCATACCCCTTAATTAACCTTTTAAATGTTTTTAAATGTTTATAAATGCTTTATGGGGGGGGGAATACAAGTTGAATCATGTTTAGTTATTATATCAATCACATGTGATTAATAACTAGCATGCAAATGGATTTACTATACGTTAACTGTTTTACCAAATAGATTTCTTCAAATGACTTTCTTAAACGTTTTTACATGTTTAAAACTCTTTATCAAACTGTCTTACACACTGTAAGTTTCCTTTCAAACTCTTTTACAAAGGTGTTTTTCAAACAAAGGTTTTCCTTATACTTAAACTATCTTATCAAACAAAATACTTTCAATCGTTTTATAAACTGACATCAGGTCATCGTTTCTTAGTATTAAAGTTTTCAAAGGTTTTACAAAACTTCTTTTACGCTTTTACATTGTCAAATGCATGCCTACATATGTATAGCTATATAAATAATGTTTAAAGGACTTAGGATGGTTAGCTCGCTTTATTTCCTTTTCCTTGTTGGGGTGTGGCCTTAGGGCATCGGTTGCTCGTCCGAATGTCGTCTAAATATTATTTATATATCATGTATAGATATATAGGTATAAAGGTTCCATTAGTCAGTTCAGCACCTTTGGGTAGCAAATGTATACTTCTAGTTATACTCGTACATTACTAGTAACTATAATAGGTATAGTTAGGAGATACTACTTAAAATTCCAAGTACAAGGACTCAAACAAGAGTCAGTTCATTCATGTGTCTATACTAATACATTACATGTTACATAAATACATTGACATATATACGCTTACATGAATACATTTACATAGATACGCTTACATGAGTACATTTACATAGATATGCTTACATGAATACATTTACATAGATACGCTTACAGAGATACGTTTACATTCATACGTTTACAGAGATACGCTTACATGAACACTTCTACATTAATACATTTAATAGATACTATTACATAGGATCTGTTACAAACATTTCGGGACTTACCATTCCACACCCAAAGCTGTTAGCTACAGTAGGGAAAAGGAGCGTCGACGGGTGTCCACGGTTGTACTGTTCGGCGAGTTTCCACGCCGTGAATATCCTAATGCAAAAGGATACAACTTTAGTTATTATATTATTCTCCTTCCTTTATTTTTTGACACATTCACATGAACGGCGAGGTAGGATATATTTGATATAGATAAACTATTTTTCCTTATTACCTTTATATTGTGACTCACACACATAATCAACGAGGTAGACTATAACTTTTATAATAATAGTTAACAAGGAAAAACCATCACATTTACAGTGATGCTTTCTTTCAAAACAGTCGAGTCTTGGTAGAAGACTACTTTCAAAATAGCCGAGTCTTGGTATAAGACTACTTTTATACTAGTAGGAAATATAGGATTTTCTAGGGTTTTCAAACTTTTACAATTACTTACAAACATTTTCATACTTTTCTCCAAATGTTTACAAGTCTTTACTTTACAGTTTTTACAAATCAAATACATATTAATACTTATGAATTCACTAGCTTTATTGTTGATACTCGCTTTCAAAATAACTTGTATTCTCAGGTCACAAATAGACAGGTACAACGTCTAGGTTTTGTGAAGATGGAGAAATCAAGACTCCTCTTTTATTTTAATTATTTATTATGTTGTCTTATACTATGAAAGAACACACTTGTAATTAAAATTATACTTTTAATTCAATGGATAATGTTGTTGCTTGTTTACTACTTTACATTGCTATGATACATTACATGACGTCCTCCGCCCCAGAACGTTTCCGGCGTTCTCGGTTTTGGGGTGTGACAGATTGGTATCAGAGCATTGTTTATAGTGAATTAAGTATATCAACCTGTAAAAGATATACTAACTATAAATACAATGGGATTAAAAATACTCTGACCAAGAGTTTATACTTTTAAATAATAAAACATTTAACTAAGTATGCGTACCTGCATTCATACTAAAATCCATGTCACAATGGCAGAAACAAAAGTATTATGATTTTTGAATATCACAGGTAAGCTCGGGGATGTATGGTTGTGATGTGGCAACAAGTCTAAAAACTTACCAACACTACCACAATGAGAACACTAGAATAGAACATAAGTCTAAAATACTATAGGAGTATTTCGTGTTACTTTAATTACTTACTTGAGAACTAAAATGATCTTCATTACTAGGTCAATAGTTGCTAAGTGGATGAACTAAGGTTATATGTAACTAGGATGTCATAGACTTAGAATCTGTGGAATTTTGCTTTACATCTGTTCCTTGTGAATTTGGAGTTAAGGTCACTTATTTGAAGGCCTATCCTATTTTGATTACATATAACTGGTATACACTTTAAAAATAGTGATGTAACTAATGAAGATCATTTAATAATTATCTAGTTAGTTCGTCTAATAACTATTTCCTTACCCTAATTTTCGTGTAAATAACATGGCTGGACTCCATCCCCACGGCAACCCGTACCTTCCGAACGAAGGCAATGCTGGATGGTTTGGAGAAGAACCTGAGAATGATCATCCAATCCCTTTGAATGATCACCATGTTGAAGACCTTTCGGATGGTGATAACTCCGAACCCGAGGTTGAGAACCTACCCCCGGTAGCTCCATTTCTAAATCCTAACCCTCATCCGGCTTTTCATGGCCCGACGCCTACTTGGGTAGAATGCTTGGAAACATGGAGCAAAGAGCAAGATCAACCTATGCCGTTTAATGGAGACCGAAGCTTCTACAACGTAAACGAAGGGAGCTCATCATACAGAGTTCTACCAATCCTGATCCGTAGAGTTGCCCGAAATGAAATTCAGGGCAGGACGACTCTCCAACGTATCGAAGAGGTTAATGCCAATGCAAGAATGCATAGCATTCGCACCAATCGCCTTGATCACACAAGTGAGAGATCTGAGAGAAACCATGATACCCTGCTGCAAGCACTAACTGAAACCCAAGCCGAAGTCATAGTGCTCCAAGTACGCCCGAGGGTGTACGAAAGGTACCTGCTTGATATGGAACGTCAACTAGCCGAACTAACGGTTCACCATAGGGGTGACCGTCGCCAGTACGAGATACCTTACTTCCTTCTTTGTTTTAAAGAATCGTGTTCCTGTGTATGTTCTTTGTAGTACTTTCTATGTGACTACCTTATACTGTAAGCACTTTTAGTTAAGTCTTTAGATTGTCAAAGACTTTTCTACTCCGAATATGATGTAAGACCTACAAAAGGGTCAATTTCCCAAAACCGATTACATCTTAAACATCAATGATATTGATAGTCGACTAACTTGCGTGTCAATCTTTGTTCAAATGCTTTCATCATGCTTTTATTGGAGTCTATCTGAAACCCCATCTAGTCAAGTTATTGGACTATGGTAATTTAACTTCGGAATCATTTCCAAGTCTCTTTCAAAGGTTGGATCATGTTATCCACCAACCAATAATACCCTGGTTCGGATGATAAATGTTTTGAGACCATTCTATTAATTTACTTCTAATCTGTACTAGGACTGCATCATAGGGATGTAGGTCAAACCTTCAAGAACATACTTCTATTCTTTGCATGAACGATCGAACAACATCTAGGTTCAACCATACTCGCTCACAAATTCATTCTCTTTCCGTGTAACAGAATCATGTCGCCAAAGACAAATGATCAACCTATCAACCAAACACCAAATCTTCAGATTGATGCAGCTACCTTTCATGCTGCAGTCTCGGCTGCCGTGTCAGCTATTCTGACCCACCATAACGCTAACAACGCAAATGTTAGCAGCATTATTAAAAAATAATTCCAATCCAAGTAACAATCAAGTACCTCAACGAGCAACAAACTACCATGACACTCCGAATCTCAATCCAAAAAATAACAAACGAAAGTTCTGGGCTAAGGCTAAAGGCAAATCACCCCAAGGGGCGAGCAAATGACAACAACCTGCAGCAACCTTCGCAGCCACGACATCTGTACCTCCTACTACCATCCCTTCTGGTATCCCAATTGTCCCTACACCAGCTAGGCAGTATGCTAGAAACCTAACGAAATGCAATAAGTGCAGCCTCCATCATCTCGGTAGTTGCCGTCCGTTACACTGCTTTAAATGCAATAAGAACGGACATACTACCAATTGTTGTAGGACTCGGATCCAACACATTACTTCAACCACCAATGTGGAAGTCTCTCGAATATGCCATCTATGTGGCGTAATGGGACACTTCAAGAGGGACTGTCCAATAGAGAAGAACGACAGCGAATCCGGAGGAGTTTGACCTCAGAATGGAAAGAGGCAACGAAGGACCCTATTATAGTATAGATTCACTTCCAATCGTCAGTATTACGTATGTTTTTAAAACATGTTTAAAACTAGTGAAACTCGAGTCTTATCTT